TGTACAAAGTAAATGAAAGATGTCAAAAATAAACTCCGATTATTCTTGCAAATTACAATACGAGCATGGGCTTTCTTCAGAGGCACGATTTCTTTGCTCACAATCAACGAGTAACTACTTTGAATTTATGTGCGCAGAACTGCTTTCATTTAGTGCATCTACTTTGTTGCCAGGAGTAACACTGTAGTATATATTTATCATAATAATTGTCAAAACAGCTTTTCCATGTAAAAAAATTCAATATAAGTGGCGTAATAATAAATAATACTTATATAAACAAAATTATTTTCCATTTCCCTAGGTAAAGTTCGCGAAAACTGATATATAGTAATAATTAAACCACAGGGCAGTTTCAGTTTCGTAACACATTTCAATATTGTCTTAATTTAACAATGGCCGTTTAAGGGACTAAATCTATAACCTAAAGAAAATTTTTCAAGTGAAATTCTCTCTAGCTCGATGTTTAGACACAACAAACATATGTGCATTTATTAGTGATAAGGCGGCACCCGAGAAACAGCGTGATTTTGAAAATTTAGGCAACCTCAAATATAGCACTTAATTTTAAGGGGGCACGCATTTCTGTTTCATCGTAAAGCTAAAAGATGATGAATTCTATCATCACATGACATCTTAGGAGATAATTTAAATTATTCTATATTAATGCTTTTGCCGTGGATCCTTTGAAGCGGATATCTATCCAGGAGTTTTGCGTGCTCATTTTGCTGGATAATACCGCGATCTCTTATAAAAATTAGCATACCCCTAGCAAAGTCATTCGATTTTCTTCTGAGAAGATATGAACACAGTGAAAAAATACGAATAATTGCTGCGCAACAATAATTCGTATTCTTTCATGATGTACCTTAAATCAGAAATAGTAGTACTTTATATGCTCCACCTACCAATTTATATTTAAAAAAATTATGTATGACATTTACTGGAACTTGTATGTATTCCATGTGGTAAATTCCAGAACTCTACTCTTTTAGTAATAAGGCAGTACCCGAACGTCAGCGTGATTTTGAACAGGGCATTCGAGGACCTGGTTGCTGTCTGTGTGCTGGAAGGAACGCGTACCTCGCAGCCTTCCTAGAAATGTCCGGATTGCATGTCGAGTCCGTCCTCCTATTTGAATTTTCAGAATCAGTACGTTTTTGCCGTTGACTATTGCGAAATAGTACAAACGATTTGCACTGCATAGGTATTGACTTGTTCATGCATTGCGAGCCTGTTTCAGGCTGCCATAATTATTCACATTTTTAATTTAAATTTTGCTAGTCGGTGGTGCGATATAGGCCGTATATTGAACGTTTTATACACCTTGTCAAACACTAGGACTAGAAGCCCCATGCAATCATACAAATAAAATGCAACCTTAGTCATTTCTTAAGACTTACATATTGCTGAGGCTCTTTGATAACACCCATGTTTATGTTGGAGAAATGAATGTCAGCAAACGTTTGTTTCCCTTTTTAAGCTAGAGTTATACTTAAAGTCTTGGTGGAGTAAAGAAAATTAAAAAATAGCCGAAAAGTATGGGGACTGAGGGAGGGGTTAAGGGTTTCTGTACATTTTGGAACAAGGCGGTAAATTATGGGTTTCTTTTGCCGGACACTTAGAGGTGAAAACCATATATCAGTGGGTCATATTTGTCTTTTAACTTTAAATCGACAAGTATTCGGATGCGGCTAACAAAACGCAAAGTGAAACGTTGTCCAAGGTAGTTCGATAGTTTGACGAATGCATTCCATAAGCACATAACCACATTCGCTGTCGTCGCAAGTATCCATTGAATCAGGGCCCTAGAGTACTTTTTTTAAAACGTAATGGTTATTGACTTCCATATGTTAGCCATTTTAAACCAGATGTTCCACACTGATACTAGAATTAGACTCCGTTATGCCTCCGTAATGAAAGACAAGACGGTGTTCTCGGCTCGGCTGTGGTTTGGCATCTAAATGCATGAACGACATAGACTGCTCCATAGGCGCAATTGAAGGTGTAAGTACACATTAAAGTTGTCTGAGAAAGCAATCTAGGCTTGCCTTAAAGATGAAGTTGCGAAGTCCTTGAGAACATTATTATTTTCTTGGCCGTTGCTTTGATGTCCATAAGAGCGACTTTCAGGCAACGTCGGAGACGTTCGCTGGCTGGATCGTTCAAAAGTAACAACACGAGAAATACCTCGTTCGTTTTAGCATCCTTCTGTATTTCTCGTTAAAAACGTCTCGTGAAAATCCGTTCTTTTTCCAGTGATTTCTTTGCAATTGCGAGTTGTTTTCCCATTATATACGGAAAGCATATCGTTTGAGCTTGGTTGGTCTGGCAGCCATTTATACCTCATCAGTAACTTAGAGGAATAAAACTGTACTGGCAAGAACCTACTTCGGCCAATTTTCCTTTCCGTGCATATTGCCGGCGCAGAAAACACGTGAGCCTTCCGGGTGTATTCAACTTAAACGCAACGAGTTATGGACAGCGTATGCTTTGTCTGAGACTTATGCGACGTTTGACGCGCTCAAAGGCAACTAATATTTATAAAAAGTAGTAAGAAAGGATAAGACAAGCTTACTTTAAATTTGTCTGATTCAAGCATTTTACGAAAGGTATTTCTAAAAAGTACTACAACATCCAAATCAATGCTGGAGAAAGCGGCATAAAGTATGAATTTTATGACTGTGGGTACCGCGATTTGTTCTTCGGAGTAACTTTTGCAGGCATCTTCTAGTGTGCTTTGATCTAATTGGTTGAATTGACTTAAGAAGTTTGAGACTATTGTAGGCTTGAGACTGTGAAATAAAATGTGTCTCTTTTACGGGCAGTTATGCGCTTCCGCGCAGGCTATGGGAAAGCAAATGCGAAATAAATCGGTACTATGAGACCGGGACTAACCGTCAGCCACGGAAAATTGCATTCATTTGCATTGCATTGCACTCCATTTGAAGAGGCAAAATTGTGTGGTAGAACAGCAAACAAAAATACTGACAACAAACTATTCGCGCGCAACAAGCCTTTTAACTGGAAACCATCCATTTAACCATGGCCTTACTGAAGCAGTGGAATGCAATATTGGCAGTTGGCTGATTACTTTATCTCATTCAAACAACAGTTTTTTGACAGATCGGTCAAGTCCAAGCGCAGAGTTTCCTTGATACTGAAGTATGCGTCAAACAATATGCGTTTCATGCTGGTAGCCTAAATGTAATTTTGGAGATGAACATGAAATGGTAGAATACGGTTTCCGTTGGAAACGAGTGCTACGGTACGGGCATTTGTCCGGGATCCTGAGAAAATCAGACTAGCTAAGAAATACCTACATAGCAAGAAATTTCTTCCTCCACCTCTTTCAAATATTTATTTCAATACATTTAATTTTAGAGTGAATATCCTTCCATTTTGGAGAGTTGTAATTAGAAAATCCTTTAAGAACGTGAAGATTTATTCAAGCAATCTCGTTACTGCACGTTTATGCATGTTGCTTCAGGCAATCTATGACGTGTTCAGTATATATTCTAAGGGCTTATTAAGGCTATATAGAGCATGTGTGTTAGCTTTTAGAGGTACGTTTTGTCAGGTAGAATGTTCATATGGTGTAAGCTCTTAATTCGAAGGCCAGCGCGAGGGAAGTTTTGGTATACATCATTCGACTTTTTGCAAACGCCTTCTAAGCCGTAATTCTGCAGAAAAGGTGATGTTTTACCAAATAATATATGATGGAATGCTACTTTGTGCTTAATATTTTCAACACATTGAATATCATGAAATAGATTTGACAAAGCAAAGGGAGACCGAAATAGCCACTTCTAGCTTATTAGTCGTCGTCAGCCAGTCATACCTAATTCCGGGTATAAATCATCCGAGGTTAGAACTCGGCACCATTGGTCATTGAGTTTACTAATCTACCATTGGATATCACCGGAGAAAGTGCAATTGTTTTCGTAATTCTGTTTAAGCGAATAGAGCTTCCTCAGAAGCATGGATAAAAAACATTAAAATATCGGTATCCTGAGGTATATGTCTCTATTTTTGAGTATATTGCTATTTAGTTAATTTTGTAAACTCACCTGAGAAGTCCCTGCTAGATTAAACCGTATATGTGAATTTCAGTAAATACTTACTTATTTACCTTATTCGCATTAGCTTAGGGCGTTTAGACAACACCTGTGCTGCCAATGTAAACATTAATTATGTATTTGCATACTTTCGGCCACTTTAATGTAGCTTATAATTCTTACGTCGGCATTCCGCTATCGCTGATTTATTTTAGCTCACATATTCATATCTAAATTCGGCCCAGACCTGACCTGCTTTTTTCGACGAATTCGCTCTCAGTTCTTACAGTAATTTCCCGCAAAGTTCTGGGTTATCTTTCGAGCACGTTTTTATCATGAGAGGATTAAATGCAGAGCCTTCTTCTAACTATCATTCTGAATAGGTCTTAAGATCAATATTGGCAAGGAGTTGCGTGCTCCATTAGCTACTAGTAAATACAATTTTAAACTAATGCCATTTGTGGAACAAGGTTTTTGTACCACCTTATGTTTGTTTATAAAATTAGTTTAATTAAAAATAAAATAGCGTGAATGTCCACCTTCATATAAAGTATGAAGATTCTGTAATGGCCAATCCCGTTTATGCTAAACAAATCAATTTAAAAAGGCAAATATTTAGGTACATGGATATCTTGAGCAGGTACCAAGGGATGTCCATCGGTTCTCCGTTTATTGTAAGCGAGTAAAATTGTATTATAGTTTTGGGTATTCAATCAGGCAATATTGCATTCTTAATAAGTATGACAAATATTTCAGGTTTTTTAAAAAGTTGGGCATGGTATTTGAGACACAGCATTCTTTTTGCTGCAGGTTTCTGTTACGTAGACATCCTATAACACCCAGATGAGCGTTACCCATACTTCGACTAAGTTTATGGTCTTGCGGATCTTTGCGTTCTCTGGCGACACCTCCCAGCAAGTGACAGAAACACTACGGCCATTTTGAATAGAAATCGCATGCAGAAGTGTAAGAATATGTGGTCGGTGGATCAAGAGGTTTATTGGTCCTGCATGTTACATCATCACGCTGAAATATGCAACGTCATGTCTTCCTTTGTTATCGACTCTCGTATTCATAACTAGGGACCATGTTTACTGTGATGATTGCTCAAAATGCTGCTTAATGGCGCGATAATTATCCGAAAAATTGGCTGTTTATCATCGGCACAGGCAGGGATGTTCGCTCCTGCTCTCCTGACCAACTGTCGTGAAGACGTGTTTTCTTTGAGGAAGGACGAGTTTGAATCTGTAACACAGGCGGATTTTTGGACGCAGTTCAGATATTCAGGACTATTGTACAATTTTAGCAAGGAGATAACGGAAATGCGCCTACTATTTCTCGTGGTTCTTGCAGACAGGACACACGTTTTCCTCCTTTTAAAGGTTGTTTTATATTTTATCTAACTTTTATGTGGACACTAACGTAACTCCTTTAATTTTGGTTTGCGAAAAATAAACTTACTATTTTCAATAACTGGAAATATCGAAGAAAGAAGACCTTGCAAACAAACCACAGGAAACATACTGAAGTAAGACCTCCATGGTCTTAAGCTCGGAATAATTTAATAGTCACTGTCGCTTGGCATTGTCTCGCGGACGTGGGTTTCATTGGCTCAACATGTCAGTGAACTTAATAAGCTAGAAACAAGTGACTAGCAGATGATATTTTAAGGCTAAGGAGTACTGGACACTTTTCGTTTACTTTCATTTTCACCATAGCATCGCTGTTCGTAGATGTCAGGGGCTTATCAACCCAGCTAGTAAGATTCCTAAATAGTCAAAATAACACTATAGAGATCGTTACTGTTCTGCGGATCAGATTCTGTCTATTTTGGGTTGGGGCACTTTCAGCCCGCAAGTGCTCGGTGAACGCAAATACCCTGGTTCACTGAATACACCCGTTAGTGAACGGCAGAATGTTGTTTCTAGATAAAAGTGTGGGAGTCTATGCCATTTAATAGCAAATGGCATGGACTAAAACCTAAGGCGTCCTCCTCCGCTGCCTTCGAGTTCAAATTCAGCGATGCGACCTTAATTAGGCGCGTGCGCGCTCAACATGTCTTGCCATATGCTCCGTAGTAGTCTGAAAGGTACGTAAATCGAATTATCGTGGATTGCGCAATTTTTGCAGTGGGTTTAAGCACCTACTTAAACTACAGGGGGTCTCACGCTAAATCCCAACGAGTTAAAGCATCCCCGTGTCCTTGAATTAATCTTAATGCCAAAACTTATCCCGTTAACCTAAAAAATAATTCTCACAAGTCCCACCATTCCAGGAATTTAGCGCTTAACCACCTTTACTACGAGAAGTGATATCTAGCCCTGTCCTATCCAGCTTTGTTTTTCCATCAAGGCGAAACGTCAACAGAAAGTCTGAACTGCCTTCTCGTTTCGAACAAACTACTTGAGTAGGATTTTAATACTGATTATCATGCAGCCTACTCTCTTGATAGCAAATCACTTGAAGGAAGGTTATTTCTCGGTTCTAGGAAGAATTTATAACTGTGTGATTTTTACGATGGTGAAACGTTCATACATTGTACATCGTATCCGTCAATTTATTAATGTTGCCTATAAACTGTACAACACGATCCACATCCACAGCACAATTTTATGGGAACAATATGACCTCTTACTCATACTACAGAGAAATGTGTACTTTTCCTAGACAGAAAGAATAAAAAGTGTACCCAGGAAACCTTGAATCCAAGTGTCACGGCAAGTGAGGTTTCAAAACTATTCGGCTATTTTAAAACATTTTTTAAAACCGAAAGATAGCCTTTCTTAAAGCATAAAATGTTAGGAAGACGTAATTTACTACCAAGCGAGTACAAGAAAGAATATTTAGTGCAATCTTCCAATAAAATATCTTTAAATTTTTAGGAGCACTTAAAATCAATATGAAAATGCATATAACTTAAGTGGCCACTTTTTTACAGAGTATATTTCTTGAAGAGAGTCAGAAAAAAAGCTCGTATAAAAGCTGGCATTCTGACGTGACGAAAGTGTCTTAAGATTAGCCTGTGCGATAATTAGTATTAAAATCCTACTTAAGTGGCTTGTTTGAAAAGAAAACGCATTTCAGAATTTCGATTGACATCTCATGAGATGGGGAACCTACTCTAGTTGTAAATCCTCATCAAAACAAGGATAAGAGGTAAAGCTTCTGTGTAGCACCTACCTCACCCACGCAGATCACGCTGGAATAGCAGAAAAGTCAACATAATCGCGCGTGACCAGGGCTGCATTGGCGTACCGCAAGCGCACATACTAAGTACTTGAAGCATCAGATTAAATCCAAAATGGCCTTCAAGACTAATTAATTTCACCTTACAGGGGGCGCTATTGCAGCATGAATATCATTTCAGATCTGGCAAGCTTCCAAACCATAACGCAAGTCAGTATCGAAAGAACTTGCGCGTTTGGCAAACCGTTTACTATGTGCCTGACGCTTTGAGTAGCTATTTTGACTTCCCAGCCTCAGAGACTCGATATTTCTCCGCACAGGCCTCGTTACCTAGCGCTTTTTCTATGATGTGTAAGTGGCTAATGCTGATAGTGGGATGAATCGAACCTCCTAGCTAGGGTCATCGTGCCTTTCGAAATAGGGACATTCACAGACCTGAACAACTCGTCGGCAAACGATGTGATCAAAAGATGTCATTGCTAACCACAAAATCTCAACCATTATCTGCCAAAATCGGTGATAATTGGCAGCCCCATTTTTTAAACGTTCGGTGTCTCCTGGCAAGAAAGTTCTTTAATTTAGTTGACCCAATTTTGAAAAAAATTCGCGGCAGTCAGCTTTCGGCCGCGAGTTTTTTCACAATTGGGTCGAGTAAATTAACCAAATCTGCCAAACCAACTTAATAAAGTTCTTTAAGCCGGATAGGTGAGGGGGGCACGCTTGCCTGGCGAGGGGCATAACAGTCGAGGGGAGGACATCCAGGCTTTCTGTACCTGTCTTAATATTTAGTCAACGCCTTGGCTCAGAATCCCAACGGCGTCAAAGATTTGGCATATTGCCGTGGCATTGGTAGCCACCTTTGACTATGAGTCTAGCCTTCGAAAGGCCACCTAGTGTTCCTGCGTTCGAGTTCGTAATCCTCAGTCGTTGTTTTTGACAAAATCGAACTTTAACTAAATACAGGACTGTGAGCTCGTGGTTCAATGGTTAGGACGTTTGCCTCTGACCGCAGAGAACCGAGTTCAGAACTCGAGTGTGGCAGCAATTTCAGCAGCTACACTGCAGTTGGATATCACTAGCCGATGACGGCAAATGAGCCAGAAAAGGCCTTCCTAGTGTCTCATGTTTTTGATGGTAATGTCCTTCTGCCTTTATCCTAGCCGCCTTGCAGTAAAGGCTCGAGAGAGAGCTCTAATGGCAACATGGGTGGACGAGTGGGTCCTCTGACAGATCAGTGTACGCATATCTGCTACTATATATATTTTTATACTTGAGACGTCCAGATGTCCCTGTCATGACACGCAGTCGTCGTTGGAATACTGTCGACGCTTTTGGTGTGTACTAGATGCTTTTGGTCGGTTCACTTGTCAGTGGATTGCTGGGTCGCGGCTGCGACCAAATTATAGTCGGAATTGCGCGAGGAATCCAGAAATCGTATCGGAGATCTCTTTATAAACTAAATACTCCATGAAAAATACGACAGCGGTCGAGAGGCACTAGGCAGGTCAACGGGTTTATGTTTCTGCTGTTTCACTGTTCTTTCCTGTCTACCTGTTCCTGAAGACGGGCAGCTGATATCACTACTCGGAACACCAGACTCCAATTAAATGGCTACCGGTGAAGGCTCCTCCTATTTTGGCACGTCACATGATAATCGAATTTTTGCTACTATTTCACGAATGTCAGTATACTTTTTAAAGGTCGAAAGCGGGCTTGTATTAGACAGTTCTTGTTCTTCAATTCTCTGCCAATAAGATGCGGAAAACAGGCCCAAGTTGGACTGAATAGAGCACAGATTTGGGCGCAGTAGGTCTGTAGGTCACTTATCATGGGCCTTTTTATAACTGCATTTGGAGGCAGAATTTTTGCCGTCAGTCCAGAGACAAGCATACGGGAAGGCACAGCGTATCCCGAGCCATCGTTTTGAAATTTGATATAGCTAGCACAATCAGTGTCGTTTACTTACTCAAATACCTATGTGAATTCACCTAAACCAAGATCATAATACGTGAAGGTAGAGTTTTATTGTAGTCACAACGGTGATTATGAACGGCGGCAACCGATTATCCGATGTCAACGCATACTTTGCAAGGTCAAGGGTATCTTTTATCCAACTGCAAAAAAGGATGGAGATTTGACGAATTTAGGGCAACAATGTTGAAATTTTGGTCAACAGAGTTTGTTTTAATAAGGGCTTCCATTTAATCAGATAGGAGTATGTTAATATAAAATACTTGCAGCACACGTCCAATACACCGAGATACGAAACTTTTTCGGTTTGAATGTCCCACATGATATCAGAAAGGTGTATTGACTGTTGATTCATTAACTTATTAAATTATCTGCCGTACACATCAACTTACGAGCAAGGACTAACATCATTCCACCAACTTTGTGACACTTTCTTAACACGTACGAAGAAATTTTTTCGTTTGATTAACGTTCTCCTCGTATAGTCATTCCTGGTCTTCGGTCTCCAGATCCAGCGAAATTCCCAAAGTGGGGAGTCTTTAAAAAGTTACCTTATAAAAGCTGTCAGAAATATTTTAGCCTACTCTTTTTATGCCCACTGTTTTCTAGTTTTACGATGCGACGGTCATGCTTGTCATCGATGATCTCACAAAGGCCATCGTGCTAATTGTGCGGGGAACTCTCAACACCAATGAAACCCTCGTGGACATGCTCGCACTCGCTGAACCTCTGCGTCCGGAGGATCAGGAATTACCACCGGAGGAGCGCTTTATAGCACACGGCGGAATGGTTAAAGTCGCGAGAAATCTCTGTGAGAAGATGGTGCGTGAGGGTTGGGT